GCCTGGAGATCTTGGATTCGTCATTCATTGGAGTCAACAGCCGGTGTACTGCTGCCAGCCTTGAGCTCCTCAGCCCCTGCGGTTGCAAGAGCCAGGAAAAGCCTCCAGCTTGACGTTTGATCCAGAACTTTGGACTTGCCAGCTTCTATAAGTGTGTGAGTCATTTTCCTAATTTCTCTCTCTCTCTCTCTCTCTCTCTATATATATACACATATAAGCTTTACTGTTTTTTGTTTCTCTAGAGAACCCAGTCTAACACACTGTGATAATTGCTTTATCGCAGTGGTCTGGAACTGAACCTGCAAATCTTTGAGTAATCATATGTGAATGTCTTATGACCAGGACTCGTCATCATCCTGCAACCATTTTACAATAATCATATTCTGTGTTTTCTTAATGCCAAGCCACCAGTATAAAGGGCACTATAAAAACCCTGTCCCTTGGGAGCACTCAGCAGGGAGCATTTAGCACCTTGCCTGGTGTGTCCCCTCCTATGGCTGCTCTATGGCCAGGACTGTTCTTCATGCTCAGTAAAAACCTTCTTACTTCTAAAAAGATTGTGTGATTTAGCTCCACAACATATTTGGTGTCACAGTCGTGATATTTGAGCTCTAGGATGGAGGCAAAATGCTTAAAGCTACTGAAATTGCAAGTATGAATGTAAGCCTGACCAGGATGATACACCCTCCTCCAATAGCACCAGGCGGCCAGCAGGTGCTCAAGAAACATGGGTGCTTTCAGAAATCAGGCAGACGTCGCCTGTAGCTGTAGCTGCCTCATCAATTCTGCACACTTGTTCAGCTTCTTCATCCCCAAGGTCAATGCCACACTCGAGAAGTACTGTCACAGGGTATTACTCAGGTAAAAGCAATTTGTTTAGCTTGACTAGTAACTCAGCTTTGGAGATATCGACCTGTGTAAGTCTGTACTCTAAAAACAGATATTCAAAAACCTAGCCCACAATTGGTTCAGTAATCCTTTTGGTAAATATCACAGCAACTTTGTGGTTCTCCATGGTGCCACTTGTATTTTTGTAGGTAATATATGGTGTGATATTGCTGTGGGAGAGCTTGAAGTCAGAGGCACTTGGTGTGGGTAAATACAGCAGTCTGCAAGGGGAGCCTTCACTCCACTTTCAAGTCTTGACACAAGTCTAGATCCATGTTGAATTTTAAAGCTGCCTCTATAACTGCAGTTCCTCTAACCTCAATGGTGACTATATACCCTAAAGGAGACATTCTTTTTCTCCAAGGTCTGGCAGGTGCAGGATTTCAGTCTTTTCCCAGAGGGTCTTTCCAAACAGATGCAGGATGGGATAGGTGATGCCCACGGGTCTGGATTCACAATATTGTCAATCAATCTTTACAATGGACCTCCAGAACAGACATGATAGAAAAAACAATTTTTATAGTGGTTGTGATAGTTGGAGTTGTGTGTCAACTTGGCTGGACCAGAATTCTGAGTGTTTTAAGCAGTTGTGATGTGGGTTATTCCCATGAGATCAGATGTATGTTTTGAGCAGCCAACCTGTTGAAAGGGAGTTCCCCTAGGGGTGTAGCCTGCTTCCGATATATTTATGGACATCCTGGGACAAGAGACACTCTTCTGTGGATTGGGATCCTGTTGTGCTGCCTCCAATGTCCATGAGCGAACAATCCACCATTCAGCCTGGAGATCTTGGATTTGTCATTCATTGAGTCAACAGCTGGTGTACTGCTTGCCAGCCTTGAGCTCCTCAGCCCCTGCAGCTGTGAGTCGGGAAAAGCCTCCAGCTTGACGTTTGATCCAAGAACTTGGGACTTGCCAGCTTCTCTAAGTGTGTGAGCCATTTTCCTAAGATAAATTTCTCTTTCTCTCTACATATAAACTTACTGGTTTTGCTTCTATAGAGAACCCAGCCTAACAGAGTAGCTTACCCAAAAAACCTGACCTGTTATCATCCTGTGACCACCCCATCATAAACTGAAGAGCACATTTGCTCGCAATTATGTCCCCTTAACCAATCATGTCATCCCGTGTTATCCACCTATCCCTGCAAAATCCCTACTCCTAGTTATTGCACGTTTGACTCCCCTGATGGTCTTTCAGTCAGTTATGATTTTGTGACTTTCAATTACTGCTCCAACTATACAGAGACATCTTCTTCCTCACTGGATGGCAGAACGGCCATTTTCACTTTGAATGTGGACATCTTTCTGGTTGAGGCTGTCGTTACCCTCAGTAAACTTTTACTTTAGCAGATTCCGTGCTACTGTGGAAGGCTGAAACGGAAGGCTAAAGCGCTCCTCACTGAAAACTAACTGTAAAACTGTCACAGGCTAGCAGGCATGATTAAAGTGGACATTAATCATAGTGACTAACTTGCTATTTTCCCCTCCCTTTTGCTTTTCCTTGGAAGGAAGGTTAGGCAATCTACTTCTGTAGTGATACCGCCTTGGAAACCCAAGGAGGGGTTGCTGTGGGTCGGATCCAACTAGACGGCAATGACTTTGGTTGTTTTTGTTTTCTTCTAAGTAAACAGAATACCCAAACTTTTTACAGATGCTGAGTTCTTTAGATTTGCCATTTTCAATTATATATTCTTCTAAGCATAATCCTCTCCAACGACCAGTTTTGGCTGAGAACCATAGCCTATGACACAAGACGACCCTGGCAAGAGGGACACTGAGTGTGGAGTAACCAGGGAAGTGGAGAACAAAGGCACTCCTGGCCCTCCAAGGCATCTTCAGCCCCCTTCCCATCTCCTCACAGAATCCTGTTGAATAAACCTTTTGCTTTCCCTCTTTAACCAGTTGTGATCACTGGCTTTTTGCAAAAGGAGGTAAGGACCTTGTTTCCATACAACATCGCTGCTCTATGACACAGCCATGAGTAACCACCTTAGAGATTTAATTTATCCTAAATGCCTTTGCAGAACATTTGGAGATAAGAAGCACATACCAATTTCTTAAAAGCTGTTTGTTTAGCACTGTCCAAGAAGTTGCTATTTGGGTATATAGTGCTTGCTGGTTTGAGGAAAAGCCATTATGACAAATAAACCCCAGAAGAGTATCAATTTAGTACCACTGGCAAAAAAGAGTATTTATTAAAGTAGACACAGAACATTTGTTTGCTTAAATTTTAATACTGCTTTACATGTTTTCTGTTTGTGAAACAATTCCTATTATGTTTATAACTGAAAATTTCAAGTGATTACAGATTTATTTAATACTCCTTGTCAAATACACAGTTGATCATCTTGAGGGAAAAATACATCAGAGGAATATGTACAGTCATAGACGTTCTTACTATACATGAAGCAAGGAAGACACATTTTATTTATTACTTTTTACATGTTCTAGAAGACATTCAAATGAAGACCAATCGACTCTAATTGGTTGTAACCTGTTCTGGCTGTTGAGGTCCTTCATTTTATTTTTTGTGATAAGAAAATCCAAAATTATTAATGTTGAATTTCTCATCATACATTCATCTAAAAACACAGTAAATAAATACTTAAAAAGGAAGACAGTATATGTTGGTTAATTTGGATGTTTTATAGTGGCTTATTATCTAATAAGTTGACTGCTGGGGATATTTGTTAGAGAAGGAGGGAAGAAAAAAAAATGGAGACCTTTCTCCCAGTTATTTAAATCTGGTAAAGAAACAAAATGAAAACAAACAGAAAATAGTTGCAAAGCCACATTATGTCTTAATGAACATTTTAAATGTTTTGTTACTTTTTTCCCCCATTAGGTAAAAATCTGAAAGAAAGACACATTGTATATGTTTTTTTTTTCCTCAAAATATAGATTTTTAAAAAATATATACATATAATATATAGAAGCTGAATTATGCAAAACCAATAAACAAAACACCACAGTAGAGTAAGTAGGTGCAGCATATAGATTATAAAATGTGCCCACAGCAGTTTGGGGGCTCCCTCTCCCTTGATCTACTTCATGATACTATAATCACACTTAGGTGTCACCAAGCCAAAGATAAAGGCACTACAGACCTCAGGTAGTGCAAAGAGCTCAGATATTTCTTTGATAAGGAATAAAATACTTTAAATGAGTAGATGTAAATGCAAAATGGCACATTTTTTTCAACTCATTCCAGTGTCAAAGCTTTACAAAAAAAAAAAAAAAAAAAAATCTAAATATACAAATGTAGCCTGGAAGTATTTTAGTGCAAACATGAAAAGTAATAGCATAACTTAAAGTTTCTTAAATAAAGTATCTAAGGGTCAGGATTGTTCTGTGAGGGATGATAAATGTAACGGCATCTGGTGCAATGTCTTGTTCAAACTTTTAAAAATCAAGGTGACAAAATTAGAAGGGAGAACTCACCTGCTAAGTATGTATTTATTATTCTAACATATGAGAAGGGGAGACTGACAGGGCCATTTGTGGAAGATCAAAATACCTTCTTGAATTTGCTGATGGGGGTCAAAAATAACACAAGTTCTCCTGAAGTCTGCACACACGAGGCTGCGCTTGTAGCACGAAGGTCCGTGCATTTGGGAGTGCCCAGCTCGCAGCGGGGGCTTCATCAGAAGGTCTCGTCATCATTGCAGTTGGTCGCCCAGTGCCCAAACATCTCACAGATCTCACAGTACGGCCGCTCCTCACTCCGACGGCCGTGGTGCGTGGAATGGGGAGGGTCCTCAGACATCTGGGCCTGGGTAGGACAGTCCTCTGTGTCGTGGAGATCAAAGCAGTCACAGATGTCACAAAAGAGGCGTGGTTTCTTCTTGGACTGTTTCTCTTGGTCATCACTACGAATGTTAACATGCATAATCAGAAACTCATCTCTACCAGAAGAAAATTCCAAGACACAGTAACACTTGCAAAGAGTAAAAATATTAGCAAGAACAAATTAGGGCCAAGTCAAGTATGACCTTCAAGTATTAAGTATCCATTTTCATTTTCCTGTCTAAACATTTGTAGTCTGTCACTCTCTTGTGAGATGTATGGAAATTTACTGATGGCCAACACTCCTCATGGGTAGTCCCCACCCGTCTGTCAGGGGAGGATGTGCACTGCTCGGATGCTGAAGAGGTTACAGCAGAGCGTCCAGAGTAAGACAGACTAGGAGCCAGGCCTGGCCCTGTACTTCTGAGGATCAGCCACTGATGACCCTACAATCACAACCATATGATCCACGACAGATCACGGGGACGGCACAGGACAGGGCAATGTTTCGTTCTGCTGGGCATAGGGAGCCGTGTTGAAGGCAGCAGAGAACAACAACTACAACATTTACGGCCAAGTAACCATAAAGCGATTGGGTGCCTTTTTTTTTTTTTTTTTACAGCACTAAAGTCCCAATCAGTATCACTTAGTATAAAATACCTGTCGTAATTGTTCAGGTCTTCTCCATTGCCATTGAGGGCTGCTTCTGACATCATCTCCACCTTCATCTTAAGGTCTTGATTCTTCCTTTGAAGATCCACTATGACTGAATTTAGGAAATCAATCTATTTGTGAAAAAAGAGAAAAAAAGCAATGAGCTTTGTAAAATGTTTAAGGCACACATATGCAGTCATGGGAGCCTACTCTGGCACTGTGGCTAAAAGAGCGGAGACATCCCAACAGGGGCCGATGACAGCCATTACTGAAGCATGTTGCCAGCTTCCCAGGGAACAGTTGTGTTGAGATTGAAGATCTAGAGCCACATCTAGGTGATGGGACTACGGAGTTGTCTTCTTCCCTGGCTTTCCTATCCTTTAAGATGCTTCAAATTTCCTTCATGGACTAGGTGCTATTTTTATTTCAAAAACATTTTACAAATGTTTAAAAACATCAGGTGTTTGTAAGCATCAGTGGAGAAGCTTTGTCTGTTATTGAGTTGAGGCTAGTGGGATTATGCTTTATTCTCCAACTTGTGGTCTGCTGGAGTGCTACTGACTCATGGAAAATGGCAAGGAACATTTATTTCTTTCAGTAGGGAAGGAAAAAAAAAAAAAAAACAGAAATACCTTGAATTCTCCTAAAGTCCTAATTTTATATGTCTGGGTACATGGCATGCTGTAAGCCAAAACTGTTTTTTCCTTCTACCACATAAAAAAATACTTTTTTTTTTTTTTTTACAAAAAAGCATAACCAGTTAGTTGTCCCCCTGAACTTCAGAACCAATGGAGACCTTTGCTGTTCTGTGGGTTTGAAAAAGTGGCATGGCGATTCCCATCAGACCGCCACTGAGCACCTGCTGGGAGCTCCTTAGTGTGTGTGGGGAGACAAGTGATGCCTTCAGGGAAAGTGCAACGTTCATGAGCAGGCCGAGTTCCCTTTCACCCAAGGAGAGCCACGTGGCACCCGCTCTGAGGCTGGGCGCAGAATGCCACACAGACGAGGAAGAGCCCTGTGCCAGGAGTCACTGGGCAACAG